GTGTACAGAAGCCAGTTCTGATGTGCTTGACTGCTGTCGCGCCTTTCTGCTCATCTGCAAAGCTTCGAATCTTATCTAGCTGCTGCTTGATCCCCATGCAGGGCATGATTGGACTCTCAAAACGTCAGCGTACATTTGTCCGAGTGTCATCGTCGGTGTCGCCGGAGAGCAAGCTTCCAACCGAGAGTTGACTCGCAGGAGGATGGAATATTTGCGACAGGCCAGGTGCTCGTCTTATCGTTCCCTGCAATCCCTGAAGGGTTGCAAAACCCGTCGAAAAGATCATGTAAATGCCATAGCCGAACTATGGGTATACGACATCTCATTGCAGCAGCTGCTTCCCATCGTCCCTCGAATGCTTAGGCCAAAAGAGGGGACGGCTGCTATCAGATCTCGTGACCGACGACCCGACATACTGTCAATGGGTTCTCCGCACTGCTCAGGAGACCATATGTTTTTGTGCATGAGTGGGACTTGCTCTTGCCGTCTCATGCCACACGACATGAAAAGCTGTAACTGGATGCAACGGCTGGTGGACGCAAATGTATGGTGTACGCACATGTATCATCTGCGACCTTGTGCAACATGCGTCCATTCTTCTTGATGCAAGTCGGCGGGGAGAGCCGAAGCTCTTCCGAGTTTTTGAGCCGGGATTACAGTTCCTCGTCGTCGAGCAAGGTTGCAGCACTCCCGACAGCCAAGCTTTTTCCACAGTTTTGATAGCTTCAGTACAGTAATTGCAGCGTCGCAAAGCAGCCTCGATGCCCAGGCATCTGACGTCTCTCATCCGGTTTTTTGTATCTTCCCAGCACTTCGTGGCACGACTTCCCTGCTCAAGATGAGATATACTTCGCCGACGCACGTCCAGCTTTCTCGAACTGATCGGACGGAGGGAGGAATGATTCGGCACGAATTCTTGAACACGTCGCGTTCTGCGCACGTTCATGGCTCATACCGCAGTGCCGCAGGAGTCGCCAACTGGACACCACTTGCAAGCGCAAGCTGCGTGGCTCCAAAAGAATGCCCCACACCTGAAGGACTATGGTAGGGCATCTTGCGAGAGGCGAGAAAGCAAGTTTTAGATCCAGTTCCCAAAGGGTCCTAAGTACCTATATAGTAGTGTGTAGAGTTTCTATATTTGGAATGATTATTATGATCTGGGAATGTATCCCCCATAGCAGTACCTAGGAGCCATTGGGGTTGGTGAGCAACAATACTTTAGAGACGTCAAGCTTCAACAAGCAACATGCCCGATCTTGCTTGGCATTCCGTGCAGCGAACTACGTTGCACGCACCACTTGCATCAACTTTGGCACTGCTCCTTCTTCAGCGTTCGTGAACGCTGACTGGAACGGATTACGTGTTGAACATTGTGTGCAGGAGGTTCCGGTCGTCAGCGCGAGAAGCGCGCACAAAGGAGTTCCCTTGCCACAAGTCATTGCGGAGGCACCATGCATGCACATTCTGCTGCACGAGCGCAGCGCAGCACATGTCAGCTCTTGCACAGCTGGTTCCTTGCTAACTATTGGGTTTCTCCTCTGCCCGTGTTTAAGTAGCAGTGTTTGCACCGTGGGCAAGGACCCTCGCTGGTGCCGCTTCGTTATGCAGCAAGAAGAGGACCTCTTGCAATTGTGCGTGAAGCTTTGTGTCACTTACATTTCAAGACACAGTGTGCAGTTACTGCAGCTCAGCAGAAACTTGCAAAGATGCATACAGGTGTCAAAGGCTTCAGGTCTCGCTGAGCCGGAAGGTGCGCTCCCGCGATTTTGCGATTGCTGCTGCACCGGGGCTGCATATATATATATACACACATATATATATATGTATATACGTATATATGTATATTGATATGTATATGTAGAGAGACTTGAGATAAGCCTGGGTTGTGTTGTATTGCTGGGTAGCAGATGGCAGTAGACAAGTCGTGCTAGCAGCTAGCAGATGGCTGACGGCTTGTGATGGGACGGCTCTGCGCCAAAGCGCAGCCCGTACAAGTGCAGATTTTGGCGCAGGTTCTCCATACGGAACTTGGCATCGTAGCATCTTTCAAGATGCGGAACGACAGTCCTGTGCCAGCCTCGGCCGAGGATTGGCTTCGTGAGAAGGCTCCGGAACTGCTTCAGGCAGAGGATGTGGCTCAGCAGAAATCGGGGCTGTTGACTTGCTTCCTGAATGCATGGATGGATGGATGTCGATGTATGGATGGATGATAGGACGGATGATTGGATGGATGTGTGGATGGATGATTGGACGGATGATTGGATGGATAGGTGGATTCATGCATGCATGAATGGATGGATGGACGGACGGACGTATGCATTCATTTTTGCATGTGTGTATGCATGCATGCATGTATGTATGCACGCGTGTGAGCGTGTATGTATGTATGCATGTGGATGTATGCCTGGATGTATCTATGCATGCATGCATGGATGTATGAATACATGGACACATGTATTTGTGTATGTATGCATGCGCGTATGCACATATATATATATATATATGTGTGTGTGTGTGTATGTAGGTATGTATGCATGTGTGTATGGACGGATGTAACATCATGCAGTGTAGCTATGTGCAGTCGAATGAAACGTGTTATGCAATGGAATGGAATGCAGCGTAGTCTGGCGAAATATAACGTGGCATGATTCAGTGTGGCGTGCTGTAATATACTGGAATGCAACACCATGTAACCCAATGTCGTATATGTAACGGTATGTGCCGGCATGTCGCCGTATGCAATGTGCATGTATGCAGTTTTTGCATGCACTATATATATATATACATATATATATATATAGATATGTATATATTGTTTGTAAGTACATACGGAATTATGTGTGTACGGATGGATGCCTACATGCCATGTGATGCAATGCAATATGCAATGTAACGCAAAGCAATGTAGCGGAATCCACTGTAACAGTTTTATGTGTGTATGTGTCCGTGTATGTATGTATGTATGTATGTATGTATGTATGTATGTATGATGTACGTATATTTATGTATAAATTTATGTATATGTATGTATGTATGTATGTTTGTACGTATGTATGTATGTATGTATGTGCATGTATGCATGTATGCATGTCTGCATGTCTGCATGTGTGCACGTGTGCATGTATGCATGTATGTATGTATGTATGTATGCATGTATGCATGTATGCATGTATGCATGTATGCATGTATGTATGTATGTATGTATGTATGTATGTGTGTGTGTACGTATGCTTGTGCTGTTTGTCGTTCATGTATGTGTAACGTATGTAATGTTTGTACGTGGGAACATGCAGGTACGCAAGTATGTGCGTACGTAGGTATGCAGGCATGGATGGACGGATAGATAGACCGATGGATGTGAGAGTCCAGTTTGCTGTCGTGGATGTGAATTTTTTCATGTGCAAATGCATACAACTGCACTTGACATGATTTTGCTTTCACAAGACAAGTTGACAGCTCTTCAATATGCGCGAAGATGCTCTGCACGTGGAGTCCAGGTGTGCAGGGATCTTGTTTCAACACTCATTTTTCGAAAATTAGATTTGAAATTTCTATCGCAGCTTCGTGGGGGGGCCGGCAATCCTTTCAGCCAGGGATCCTTGACGGAGCGAGTGTGCTAGGCCCCACAGGGAGATCCTTGGGCGTCTCAGAAACCGAATGCTGAGATGTCCAACCTTGGCTGTAAAGCTTTTAGAGTTTGTTGCTTGTGTCTCCTCGGCTCAGGAGGCACAAATTGCGCAGATTGGCCAGAAGTTCTTCAAGCAGTACGGTCAGCATTTCGTCGTCCGATCTGGCAAGCACCGAATGAAGACTTTCGCGGCAGTCGTCAAGGACTCCCGGGGCAAAGACACTATGGACTGCACGCATGCAAATTGCCCGCATTGTCTGTGGGCGTGCATGTATGTGTGCATGTATATATATATATGTGTGTGTGTGTGTGCGTGCGTGCGTGCGCGGGTGTGCCTGCTTTCTTGCATTTTTGCTGGCGTGCAGGTGTGGTGTTCGTCTGGTTGTATCTGTGTGTGTATGAGATGAGGTCATGCCAGATGTTGTTAAGTTGCTTGTTCCTCGGATTCTAGAGCGGTCTCTCTAGCAGCCGTAGTTGAAACAATTTCCAATTCCACAGCACGCAGTCGGCAATCAAATATTTTTGGGATATAGGCATAGAAAGCTTATATGCATGAATTTGGACCATGCAACTCAGCAACAAGTATAACGTCTCTTCACTATGTAGTCCTGCCCTGCTTCTTGTCTCACTGGCCGTGCCTGTACAGCAATGTTATCCCGTCTTCCTTTCTGCCGGCTCGAGAAGGATGGATGTTCGAGAGGCTCCATGCCCTGTAATAGTTCCCCTGTTCATGTCAATATCCATGAACAATGCAAAGGACGATCCGAAATTTGTGGAACGGGCGGTGCGGCAGTCCAACTCCAACACTGGCCGACCGGGCATGTTCTCTTAGACTAAGTTGCTCTTTGATTCGGAGAGCTCAACGTCTGCAGGTATCGTCTGTTTTTTTCGCGCAGCTCATCTTGCTAAAGGGTCATGAACCATCGACGGCAACCTGAACAATGCGCTTCAACAAGCTGCAGCTGGGTGTAACAACAGCGTTCTCAGGATAGTCATGGCTGCGTATTTATATGCACCAAGTGTCTTGCACGCAGGCATGCGCCCATCAGGAGGGTATTGGGGTTTATCATGCTTGATGCGTTGGAACGAGCATCAGACTTGTGCCAGGTGCCAACAAGAACATCCAATTGCTTGCCGCATTCGCGAGCCAGCAGTCCAGCCAGGAGGGGAAAACTGGGTCTGCGAGTCATCGCTCGTTCTTGTTAGGCATGCAAAGCAGCCATGAAGCAAAGGTCCGGAATGTCGGAGAATGTCAGATAATGGGCACTCCCCGGAATCGCAAGCCTCACATAAGAACTTGACGCTGGCATTCACGGGTGTTGGCCGGTCTGGTGTCGGATGAAGCCGATACATTGGCAGTGGTAGCCGTTTAAAGCTTCGAAGGGGATATCATAACAAGGAAGCACGGGCGACAAACAGGACACACATAGAAAGCCACTGTCTCGTCACCAATGTCTCCGAGCGAGAGTAGGTCCTTCTACTTTCACCTGCAGGGTACTCTACACCGGCAAGCATCAAGCTGGCCCCCTTTGGGGTGCTTGTCTTTGGCGTGTGATTTCTGGGGGCAAGCTGCATGGATAGCTCGAGGTTCAAAAGTCAATCGACAGACCCATGTTTGATAGCATCGGCTTTGTGCATAGCCTAGGTTGTTGCGGGGAATCTGTGTCCCTGGAGAAGCTAACTTCTTTGCTGTTTGGCACAGTGTTCTTTTTGGCATGTTATGAGACGCATCAGACAGTGGTACGTCCTGGTGATATGTCTGTGCCTGCAAGAAATATTGAAGCCACCGTCTTCCGCGACTTTTGGTCAGAAAACCATGCCCTTTGAATCAATCAATGTTGTGATCCCTGAGCTAGTTACTGCCAGTTCCGGCCGAGTGACTGTCCATGCCGCCAGGAGACAGCCGATAGCTTCAGGGGCGAAGCCGTGACTTAGCTGATTTTCACAGGAAGGCATCAAACTCTCAACAGAAGTATAAGTTGTTATCGGGTATCTGCGCAAGGGTCGTCTGGCTGGACGAAGTTCTTCGACTAAGGCGCGAAGCGCAGAGGAGTGCCAACCGTGCACGAAGGCCTTGAGGGAATCAGAACGCGGGGCTGAAGCATGGGACATCTACGATACGCGTCCAGCAAATCCAGAGCAAAGACTTGGAAGTAACTTCGCTCGAGCGCGCTCGAGCGAGGTTCCTCGCATTCATCGTCGAGCTCGCAAGACTGCTGAGAGCCCAGTGGCTTGATGCCGAAGGCTTCAATGTTTCGGAGTTCCTGTCGCCGTTAGTTCAAAAGGTGCCCTCAGTTCATTACAAATATATATCACAAACTTTATGTCAGCAACATTTGTGTGCCATCGGTCGAATGTTACAATACTCTGTCGTGACGTGTTACACTGTATTTCACGGCTCTTCTACATATCTGGTCAGGTTCAGTTTGACAAAGCTCGGGTGCAATACAGCCGCAGACAAAGCCCATGCCTGCCTGTCCAGAAGATGAACCGATGTGTAGCATCCAGCACCCTGAGATGTGACAATGCCGTTTGTACTTGTTTCTTGGTTTACCTTCTCCTGCTATTCTTGGGTGGGGTGCGAGGTTGGTTCTTGAGCTTCAAAAGCGGAGAACCCTGTTCCCTGTGCATGGTGGGGAGATCATGTGCGGAGGCAGCCTCGCGAAACAAAAGTGTAACAGTGCAGCAGATTTGTAGGTAAGTCCGGCATTGAAGCAAAACACGGGCGAGCAGCTGAGTGATTCATGTAGTTCAGCTGTACACGAGGCCCGGGCGCATGCCATGCATGTGTCAGTCGATCGGGCAGCTTCTGGCCCAAGTGGCCCCAAAAGGGAGAGCCTGTTTCTTGTGCTCGTCGCTGTTCAGACATGAGGACGGCTCGGAAGACAGTTATAAGGCTTTCAGGAGAGAACTTGGACTGGAGTAGTCGCGGGTCGGTCCCTGAGGTAGGACTCCTGGGTCTAGCTTGCCGGGCTACAACCTCGAGGGCGACAGCTTAGTATGCTTGGATTCCACAGCGAAGGACATCACTATTGAGGTTGTGCCTTCCGGCACGGGGCCGCAAGGGCCTTGCCCGGACGATGCCGATGCAGCTAACCTGCTTTTCGCGACTCAGCCCCGGTCTTTTCTACAACATGCTGCAGCTTGCAGGGTTTTGGTTGGATCAGGTCAATGTCTGCATTTGTGGAATCATGCAGCGTGATTAAAGACTCCGTGGCTAACGTTTCGCTGTTTCGCGGCAACACGTGCACCCATCGTTCATTTCCGAATATTCGGCTTGAGTCCATCCGGAGTGGCTAGAGCAGCGCAGCTTAGGCAGGGGCCTTGTCGGCGCTCTGCTGCGACTGTGTCGGAATCGTGCACGCCGGCAACTGCCAGCATGGACTGCATGTTCGGATCCTCGACTGCAGTCACCTACGTAACCTAAAGATTCGTCGTAGATTTGGACCAGCTGAAATTCCAACATGGTTACGTGCTTCATGGTTGTCGCATATATGATTTAGGACGAAAGCACTACGGCCGGCCTTTGCACGAAGTTGTCGCAGAAGATCCTGGATATTGTCGATGGATGCTGGGAAAGGCTGAGGACTCGGCAGGGCTTGCGATGTCAGTCCAAGTGACAAGCCCCCGGCCACTGGCCACTGCCTGCTGCCTGCATCCGGCCACTAGTTCCGGCTCAGGTCTAGCTCCTGCTTGTCTCATGTTCGTTTTGCTGCACGGTGCAACTCTGCACCATAAGTTGCTCCGACCGTGTCGCGGTTCTAGTGTCTTCGTGTGCCACGAAACACCTGCATTGATCTCTGACGCTTTTTTGCTTTCTGCATCATTCACGTGAAGGAGGATGGTGCCCCACCCGGATTGCTGGAGAACGCCGACTGGCTAACGCAGCATGCGCCGCTGTTGAAGGCACAATCCTGCCAGCGGCGGTGTCAAGCAAAGCCGAATGAGTTAAACCTCGCGTAAGGGCATTGGCCCGTGAGGCTTTGCTTGAGTGGGGCTGCTCAGTGTCGGGCAGGCTACACCTTTAGTGTAAAGGTTCGATACATTTTGGGATTTATGGAACAGTTATGACAACACACTCCCACACATGTTGCCTCTCCGCTGTGTAACCTCTGACACGCCTACCCCACTGCACCATGCATCATCGCCTGCAACTGGGGCTGTCGCCGAGTTGAAACCTGACAGGTTCCTCGCGAGCTTGTGGAAGGCCGGGAGTTGGGGATGATCCTTTGCTGGTTGCCCAATCAAGTCTCAAACGTGGGTTTCACGTGTCTCCTGGCCATGTCATGGTTCCGTATGAGTGAGAAAGAACTCCCGGCTGTGATTAGTGTAGGATACAGAGCGATACACACTTTCACAATAGATGCGTGCGTTCGCTGTTCGTTTCTACGGTGTTCCCAGCCTGGAACGTGCCCGCACCGAATGTGGACTCATTTGCCAGTCAGTGTTTTTTAAGTTGCAGCACTTTCTGGGATCCGGGATCCGGCTTCCCCCAACGCTCTCACAGTGGGGAAGTGCACGAGCCTAGCACATGTCCAGATCCCTCGCCTGCCGCCAGGGTGGACCAGGGGGGTGTTGGGAGTCCCCAAGTCTAAGCGTGACTTATGCGAGTTTATGGGCTAACATGCATGCTTTTTGTTGGGAGAAGAGCGACCATTGGTTGTGAAGTGCTGCTTTTCTCAAGAGGCATGTGGAGTTCGGGGTGAGTAGGTCTAATTAAGCCTCGCCTTTTCGCAATTCCTTTGACGGAGACAGAAGGCTGCTGAATGTTACCCTTTCGGCAAACAGACGGTCTTCACAACCTTAGGATGCCGCACCGCAACAGAACGTGCAGAATTCAACGGCTGCGTGCTACGAGCGCATTGTTCCATTGAGGCAGGGTTTCGATGACATGTGCAAGGAGCTGGATGAAAGTAAAGGACGTGATTCGGCTACGTGATTACATCCCAGCTTCTTCGAAGTTTAGAAAAATCTGTGAAATGCATGGGTTACCAGATATCAATGATTGATTTATTTAGGTCATCGTCTGAGAGAATGCAAGTGGAGCAGTCGCCGGACTCAGAGGGCTTCCATTGTTCTGAAGAGCTTCGCAGCATCAACTGAAGCCTCAAACTCTAGTGTCAACTAGTGTCTCATCTCTCCAGGCGGAAAGCATCGCGGACGGCGATTGTCTGAGCTGGTGCATGAAGACCCACTGTACTGCCAATGGATTCTCCGTCAGGGTAAGGCAGCTTGTGCTCAAATTGGACCGGTGATCAAGCCGCACTTGCCTTATAGCGAGCATCTTTCCGCAGTATTTATGTCAATGGTAGATTTATGGCGTGGGTCGTAGGCAAGCAGCTTTGCACGATTCTCGTGGCGTGGCTCTTTCCAGTGGTGTGACAGCACATCTTGTCAATTGTGCAGGTGAAGGACGCCATGCCATCGGTACGAGAGAAAGCTTGCTGGCTGGAGCAGAACGCACCATACCTGAACGACGCAGCCTGGCGGAAGTGCTTGATTGTGGTTTGTCTGTGATGGCCCAGCGCCAAAGGATCTGGGGATCAAGGGCCCGCAGATTAGACTTGCTTGAAATGACCAACACAATCGTTGCTGTCAACTCGATCCGCCTTCAAAAATTTCGAAAGATCGTAGGCAGAATAATGCAACTCCGGAACCTGACAATGACAATGCTGCTTTTGAGAGCTACTGTAGAGGCGTATCTACTAAACAAGGCTCAGTTCCAGGGTTTGCAAAGGCGCACGTGTTCTCAGTGAGTTGTGCCACAGCCCTTGTCATATTTATTGACACATTGCATTGACCTTCTCGCAAGCACTCCCAGCCAATTCGACCTCGACCCACCTCCTGCAAGGACCAACCTCTTCCGGGTGTCCTTTCAGGTGCGGCAGCTTGCAGTATGTCATTGCATTTGCGACAGTCACAACTTGATCAAGACCGGCGGATTCGTCTCACATGGCCTCACATTTTAGCAGAGGGCGTGTCGTCGTTGTTGTGCGTGGCTACTCTAGTCGGCGTGACTACTCCGGAAAGACCTCGCCTAGATTATCCGAGTTGTGAGAGCGCAAACTCATAGGTGGAAAGCATCACGGACGGGCCCTGTCTGACGTGGTCGCCCAAGATCCGGCCTACTGCCAATGGATCCTTCGAGAGGCCGAGGCCCCCGGATGCTGCATAGGGGCATTCTAGTGTATGTTATTGTATTATAGTTTAGCTCAAGGTCTTATTTCATTTACATGATCGTATATTATACGCATGATATCATATTATACTGTTCTGTACTATCACTCCGAATGGAGATTTCTCGCTGCTGTTCCCCGGCATTGACTGACAGCTTTCAATTGCTGCCGTGGACATGGTGAAACGGCTGTGCCACTGAAAGGCGGCCCGACCTTCAGAAGCAGTTCGCGAAGCCGCGGATTGGCTCATGAAGAATGCCCCAAACTTGAAGCAGTCCTGAGAGAATCGTTTGCCTGCGGCACGCCTGGCATAATGCAACATGTTTGGTCGATGGCCAGGGCCTTCAGGGGTGGCGCAGGATGCCCGAAACGCAGGGAAGTAATGCTTTCGGAACATGATGCAGCTTTGGCAGGATCAAGCCCTCCGATTGCAAGGCGGCTTGAAGACCTTGCTTGTTTTTCCAGGTTCTTTACAGATTTGCTTTCGGATACTTCAAAACTGCTTGAGGAAGGGAGGAGGACCTGAGATTGTGCAACAGGCTTCGTTCGTTTCTATGGTATGGAGGGTTGAGGAATTTTGGGGTCCTCGAAGGCTTCGGCTGGACCTTGTATCAAATCAGCAAGCATGATTGAAGCAAAACATGCCTGGAATTGTCGTCTGGCGGTATCGAGCATACTACTCGAAACGAGCACCTTCGCTCGACATTGCTTGCGCTGCTTGATCGATAGGGGTTGCAGCAGCGAGCCAGGTGCCAAGTATCACGGGCGCCTTGTATCTGAACTTGTCAGCGAAGATCCAGGATATTGCCAATGGCTTCTCCGAGTAGCTGAGGAGACTTCTTCGTTTCAGGTTGTGAGGGCATCGGCCACTGGATTTGCAAGCGCACTTGCGCATGCAGTATCCATCTTGGGGCTTGGGACTGCTTTAAATCGGAAGGATTTCCGGGGTCTGGGTTCTTGCCACGGGAGCCTTCTGCAAAATTGTGGTTCTCATTTCTTCGGGTAGGTTCCCAGAGCTGTGATTTCCAGGTTCCGGCATTCGCGGGACATTTTCTGATTTGAGCACAGGACCAAGATGCAGCTCAGTGGATGAAAGAGCCTGCTGCCTGGCTTGTTGCGAATGCTCCGCACCTCAAGGAGGGCGGTTGTCTTTATAGAGTAAACCCTAAAAAGTTGGAAACTGGATTAAGGACAAATAGTGCTGGGATTCCCTATACATTACTCTTAAGGATTGAGGCTGTTGGGTTTCCAACTTTTGGGCTTCTAAGGATCCCCACACATGTCAGTTGTCAGACAGCAGCAACATGCAGGAGACGACTGTCGTGACAGTCAGATGCAGACATCGCGGAATCCCTCTGCCCCAGGTGGTTGCTGAAGTGCCTCAGTGATGATTCGTTATCTGCTGTGCAGGTCTGACCGCTTTGCTGCCCGAGGCGTTTCCTAGATCTGCTAGTGATTTCTGCATTCCAAAGATTTTCGCTGCCTGCTGGAAGTGACCACTGTATTGTCTGTATGGTGTGCAGAGTGTCTGACGCAACGCCGCCTAGATTCAATTCTGCCTCATGTCGTTTCATACAGGCTCGGGTATCTTCCGTGAGTTCTCTGGCCGATTGTATCAGCTACTACGAGAGCATGGCTGGTTGGTATTTGGGGTTTCAACCAGAATCTGGCTCGGTCATTGTCTTGTTAATTATGCTGGGCGAGTTGAGTTCGTCGTTCGCCGCCCCAAGGACCCACACTGGTGCATTTTCGCTTTGCAACCTCTGCAGGACTCATCTCGAGCGTAAGGGTAAGGGAACTCAGGAAGGAGGCAGTGTGAACGGTGGGTTGTTGAGGGAGGGTGCATTGATATCAGATATGTAATAAGGAGAGAGAGAGAGAGAGAGAGAGAGAGTGAGTCGACGGTCAGTGGTGTGCCTGTGCTCAGGAGCAAAGTAGAGGATTCGACGAAGCTTCAGTGTCCTGGTCACCGTTGCTTCAGTCTATGTAAAGCAGAAGCTGTTGCGGAGACGTCTCGTACAGCATCCCTTACGCTTCTTGCTGCCCTTCATGGTGGTGGTCCCTGTGCTTCGGTTGATTTTCTGGAGTAACCGCTGGGATAAGTCTGCTGGGAGCAGGATGGAGTAAGGTTTTGACCCACTTGGCAAAGAGCTTCAGGAGAGAAGAAACGTCTGTAGTGGACTCTGTGAAGTGGTCCCAGTAACTGATTCCCAGCTGTCGAGTTGCAGCAGGCGAAGGCAGGAAGGCTTGACTCTCTTCGTTTCCTTCTTCGTCTCTCCTTGCTGCTTTCGTAAGCCCGTGGCCGTGGCCTTAGTGTGATGTCTTACATGATTCGCGCCCGCCCGGTTTCGGAGTTTGCGTTTGCAGCTTGTCTTGACGGGACTTCTCACACCCCCACGTTTGGCGATCGTAACAAGATCAGACCATCCCCCGACTCCGGACCCCCGTGGCAGCATCGCATGAACACGAAGTCAAGGCGTGGCTTCGAGAAAATGCTCCGGAACTTCTGCAGGTGAAAGAGGCACGTTCTGCCGCACAGCTAGGATTGACGACGGTCATGACTTTGGACTTATTCACAGTCGGAGCATGCAAAGGACCTGCGGGGAGAAAAGTGGAAACTCCAGCTGCTCTTGACATGTCCCCTTTCGAACATGCTGCCTCGCTGCTCCAGCCAGTATGTGCGTAAGAGAGACAGCTATCGCAGCTTTTGCTTCTTCCACATGCTCAGGATGATGAGAAGGCCTTGGCCGAGCTAGGGCGGACCTTTCTCCGTCGTTATGGCAGCCACTTCGTTCTTCGCTCTGGCAAGCATCGAATGCGGACTTTCCAGACCGTCATCAAGGACGAACTGGACTATTCATACGGTCTCATGGACGTTGTGACTGTGCAGTTGAGGCGTTGATGAGGAAGACTCGGGTTCGCCCACCCACAACCACCCCTGTCCGTGTGAGTTTGCTCTTCCAGCGGTTACTGCATTGGTACCAATACAAGCTTGACTAAGTAGCCTCCACTGCTTGGCCATGCACCCTTCTGTCACAGCTTCAGTCCCGTGTTCCTGAAATCTGTTCTGTTTGTTTCGTTCTGAACCAATGCTTCTGACTCCTGACGCAATCAGGAGGCCCCAAAGTATGTTGATTGGATCAAGCGACGCCTCCGAAATTCTTCAACGAATGAAGGCGCCCCAAAGTTTTCTTTGTCGGGTGGCGGGCTTTGAGTCCTTGGGCGTGTTCGGACCTTCCTGGCGGTTTCGGAAAGGAGGTTGCTTGAATGGTGTTATAGACATAGAGGTGTTTGGTCTGAGGATGCAGGGCGACGGCATATCGGCACATCCCGCGGCTTGTGATCATTTATGCCAGCCCGCATTCCAGCCTTTCGCGGTAGATCCGCAGGTAAACAGATTGGCACCCGGAACTTTCAACTCTTGGCAGCTTTTGCCCGTCTCCACGAACAGGACAGGGCAACCATTTGCAAATGCTATCCATGTACAGTTGAACCTTCAGTCGGGGTGCTGCATCTCACTGGCATTTTGCTACAAAGCTGCAGGTTGATTATGTGTATCACATCTTTGGGGCGTGCAGACTGCGGCATTGTGTAGATCACGTCAAGCCTTTGCACCGACAGAATGTGCTCACAGGTTGCATTCCGTTTCCGACTCGAAACCAGTCAGTTTTGCTTCCATCTCCCAGTCAGCAGGCAAAGACCGTCGCAGTCTGATCCGATGTGCGAACTGACAGACCTCCGAAATCGAACAGTAGCTGCCGCCATTCAAGGACCCTGCCCACGGCAAAAAAGACGGCTGTAGCAACGAGCAATCTGTGAGAAGTAATGCCTGTTTCCCTGGAGAATGGGTTGCCATCCAAAGTTTTCCCATTGCGGACCCTTTTGAGGAGTAAGGGCTGTTTGCGTCCGGCAAGTCGTGGCTGGTTTACTCACGCAGCTTGTGCATGGTCGGCCGGATGCAGATCCTTCTTTGTTACATTTTGGTCTACCTTAACCCTACATAGAAGCCCTTATAGATCCCTCTGAGGAACCCCTAAAAGGGACCCCCCCCCCCCCTCATATTTTGTGTGTGGCCTGCGCCAGCTCGCCAGAGCCAGGAGCCGGGTTCAGCATCACAGGGCGCAGTGCACTGAATGCCCTGAGTTTCCAGAATTTCGAGGATTGCACTACTTCATGGTTTTTCCTCACTGTTGCGGCTTCAGAAGTTGAAGCGCTGATGGATGGGGAGCCGGGAGCGAGTGCTCTGACAATCCTGCCAGTCTGAGCTGCAGCCAGTCGAGCTGGATCGTCACATCACTACGAGCACATGCAGCAGATGCCTCCGTTTCCAAGAACTGTCGAAGTGTGTTGGAAGCCTGAAGCAATATGCATCTCTCGCAGCCGGGGGTGTAGCCTGTGCTCAGGGGAATAGTAGCGTGCTGTTTCCGGCCAAAGTGCTTCATCAAATCAAAGATGGTGGGGGACCAGCTGAGGGGAAAATAAGTTCTGACTAGCAGACAGCTTTTCAGCCACCCTGGTTGAAGCTCTGTTTCCATCCCAGGCGGCCCTTCTAAGAAAATTCCGTTATCGAAAAATACAAGTTGCGGTGTTATAAGTACACAGTTGTTTCAACATTGTGATGTACCAATGCGACCTGCCAGACAGAATGCCTCGCTGTCGTTTACAATCAAGCTCTTTGAAGCTATGTGTCCAAGCTCCTGACAGTAGTGCGAGCCCACCCTGGCCCTGAGCTCAACATTGTTGCCCATCAGGTGCATGTTCATTACACTTAAACATAGGGTTGCTTGAGCTCAACTTTTCTTCTGCCAGACAAGTAGACACATCTCGCCCATAGAAAGTGGGAGCTTCTTTAGCCACTGCTCCGTGGAGGCTCGGAGTGGGGTCGGAGATCATTAGCAAGCTGTACAGATTGGGGGAGGGGAAGTGCGCTGAGAAGTGCTCGTTCAGCATCGAGACATGCTGATTTCCATGAGCCAGGGGATGTCAGCAGCTTTGGTCAAGCTCGCGAATGCGTCGTCCTCATCGTTGGGCGCTCAAGTTTGGAAGAAAATAACGGATTGTCGAGCCTTGTCTGTTCTTCCCCGAAACAGCCCGCAGCCGCAAGAACCGGCAAGTGATTTGACGGCTTGCGGTCGTTGTTCACATTGGAAACACTTCGACTCCGAACCTGCAGGAGCTGCAAGATCGCTTCCTCCCTTGCCTTGCAGGTTGGGAAGAGCGCTTCGGCTTCATTTGAAGCTGCCCAAAGGGCTCGCTACGGACAGTGCGCGACTTGACGTATTTCTTATGGGGTGCTGTTCATGCCTGGAGCTCAACGGTATGTGGTTTCAGCAACCAGCAAATATATAACCATGATTTGTGAAAACCGACTTGCGCGTTTTGATGACATGTTGTCCTGACTGCCAGATCTAGGCCAACAAAACACAATCAGCCTACTT